ATTTATTCAACTATTAAGATGATCAAATCTTATTCAGGATTTGTTTGTGTAATTTTTCGATAATCTAAGGTGATGCCTCATTCCTAATGTGAGTTTATTTGAATTTACAGCAGCAAGAACTCATGACAGACCTCTGAGTGTTTGGTTATTAATGTGGGACAAATTTACTCAAGGTCAGAACAAAACATCCAGTGGAGCCAAAACAGACAAAGTTACCAGCACCAACAAAAGCATGTTGAAATATTAATCTGTCCATCTGCAAAATAAAAGCTGGTAAATGATGTTATGATGACTTAATAATTCAAAACCATTTGTTTAACTACAAACCTGGTCAAAATGACTCAATCTGACTGTAAAGAGGAATAAAATGGAGAGTAAATAAAAAACACAATGGAAACAAAGCAAACAAAACAAGAGCTGAAACAGCAGGTTTAACCTTCCAGCCGTAAATATTTAACCTTTATTTAACCAGAATAAAAAACCCGCCGAGATTAAAAACCTCTTTTCCAAGAAAATCCAGGCCAAGGGCAGCAACAAATACAGCACAAGAACTAACACCATCCCAGTGCAGGTTCATTTCTAACAAGCGCTCTTTACCTCCACTTCACCATGACCTTTGGTTCTCTTTAGTCTCCAAGCCTCATGCAAAACAAATGACTAACAGCAGGTGTGGCAAAGCAAGCAGCTTGAAACCTGAGGACCAGTCAAGTGAGCACTCCCAGGCCAGCCTTTCATTCACGGCACCTAAACATGCAGATAACACGTCAAGATGCAGCAGTTATTACTGTGACTTCATCAGCCAGAGGGTCACTGAGGCCTTTCCTCTGTCCCACCCATCAAATGTTTACTCCTGCTCTAAGTGTGACAAAAAGCATTTTAAGACCTGAAAACCAATGTTTTAATTTACCATTAATCACTTTATATTGTCAGGTTGTAGATTTTTATGACCAACCTGGGAAAGTGTCAGAAGATTCTGAACCAAATGTCTAAAACTTACAGACAGGAAACTGTAAATTGGTTATAATTTATGAACATATATTATGAACCAAACAGTAAGAAATAATATTCCCATCTCTCTGTGCAGTAATGGAGCTTCAGGTTCAAAGTGGAGGTCAGAGCGGCGCTTAGAGCCCTGAACCTGCAGGTGGGTGTTGGCTAAAGGTCGACATGCAGCATTAGGAGTCATAAACGACCCGATGGAGAAATGTTTGTTCCTGCCCAGGTTCTTATCCACCACATGAGCAAACATAATGGCTGATGTCCTTGCAGGTTTACACCACTGGCCTCTTTGTGGCCCTGGTGATCAATCATGCTTAACAGAAAAGAAAGAAAATCTGTGACTGCAAGAAAGGTTAAAAATAAAGAATAGACTGTGAAGGTGGAGTTTGGGAAAGTTTAATAAAGTGTGAGCTGCAGGAGGGAAGCTCAACATGGAGTAAAAGAAAAGAGGTGAGGAGGTTCACAAAGTCCTCAGAGATTAAAATAAGCCTAATTCCACTAGATTACAACTTTATTTATCTACAGATTATTCACTGATTCTGTGGTTCATTTTAACATCCAAGTCCTAAAATCTATAACTGAGAAAAACCACGAATACACCATCATGTTTAGAAATGAAGTTAAATATTAACTGAAACTTTTGAAGCATTGCATTAGAAATGTTTAATGGAAACAACAAAATGTACAATTATTTCCTCAACTCTGTAAAAATGTCTTTATGCTCGCTTTAACTGACTTTTCCGAAAAAGATTAAGAAACTTGAGGCGTTCTGTAGCTATAAAGTAAAATGGCCGACTATAATTTCGCTTACGTAGCGGCTCCCAAAGAGCAGAGCTCTGATTGGTTGAATCATGAATATATCTGCTGCAGCTGTTTACATCCATGATTTTTATTTATTGGAAACACCGTATTTGCATTAGCAGAGTATAGACAAAGATTTGAGCATATTTGTAATGAAAACGCAGCTGATGTGATTCTCCAAAATAAGATGAAACTTTAATTCAGATACTATCACTGCCAAATTTCAGGGTTAGTTTTGGCTGGAATGCGGTGAAGGAGCAGAGAGCTCTGGATGAGTAAGGTTGTCATCTTTACAATAACCAATGAGAGCACTGAGAAGCAGCCGTCCTACGGGAGCAGTTATTCAGTGTGTGAACTAATGCAGATAAAAACAGCACAAAGCAGGATGAGGTAATGTGGAACCAAGCTGTCTGAGGAAGCTCCGTGTGGGTGTGTGTGTGTGTGTGTGTGTGTGTGTGTGTGTGTGAAGCTGAGAGATGAACCCCTGCAGAGGCTGGAGGACTCTCTGCTGCAGGCTGTTAATAACTTATAACAAAGCCAGCGAGGGGTTTCTTCCCTGCACCAGGCTGAAACACTCAGCTGGCGTTAAATCTGCGTTAACATGTGACTAAACCTCAGAGTTTAGTGGTTTGTAACAAACCCGTTTTAAAAATCAGTGATTCACTCTAACATCGGAACGTAATGCCATGACTCAGCAAACTGAATCACAGAGTGGAAATATTTCCTTTTTTGTCGAGGAATATTTCTTATCCTCCAAGGAATCAATTTTCCGTCTCTGGTTCACAACAGGAAGAACTAGCAGACGCACTTTATTTAAAAACACTCGTCCACATTTGCCTTTTTAAGGAATGCTGAAGGAAAACATGTGAAGCAAAACGATGACAGATGTAACAATAGATAGAGGTTCGTCGTCTTTGGAGGGGAAAAAGGAGTCTGCTTGTAATCCAGGGATTTTCCCATTTAAGAGGAGAAAATTCCTTGAATGCAGCAGAAATGTGACTCTGAACAGAGCAGCTGCTCTGTGAGAACCTGAGAGCATGAATATGGAGACATGAATCAGTGTGGTCATAAACAAACATCCAGTCTGCTGACGGTGATCATCCCTGCCCACAACACACACACACACACACACACACAGAGAAACTGTTCAGAAAGCCGATAAAAGAAACTGAAGAAGAAGAAATGTGAACTAATTTACAGACTGGTGTTTCCTTTTCTGTTTACATACAGTAATAGAAAAAATGAAGGATGCACCAATAAATCAGAGATCGGTCGATACTTTAATGTGAAAATTATTTTTTCATACCAAAAAATAAAAGCAAAAAAAATCTGCATTGGTCAAAATCTGAATCGGCCGGTCAAGCTCTGTAAAGATCGGTGATCGGCCAGAAAACTGCAATCAGTGCACCCCTAAGAAAATATAGATCAACTAATGTTGATATTTAAGCTTAAAAGTGTTTTCACACCTGATGGTCCAGTAGATGTTGAAGCTTTTACTCCATTTTGACTAATTAAACAGGAATCTGGCCTTAAAACAGAAATCAGAATCAGAAGTTGGTTCACACCTGACAGCAAAAACACTGAATCTTACCATCTGTTTTTGGTCTAGTTTCTGGTATAAATATCTTTGCACACTTGAAATAAGAAATAATTAACTTACAAGTGACTTTTCAGCAAGATATAGGAGCTTGTTTTAAGTAAAAAATTATTGAATAATTATTGAACACGACATTCTTCTCATGTTGTAAGTGAAGCAACCTCCCAGTGGATCGAGAACTTTGTTATCAGTATTAACGTGTTAGAGGGAGTGAATACATTTGCAATGCGCAGCAAACATCTAGAGATAACTGATCGTTTTCTGTGTATCGAAGCAAACTGGAGGAAACGGGTTTGAAGCTCCACACCTGCTACATCGGCCTCGTTAGCTTTGGGAAACCAACAGAGAGTAAAGTGAAGAAAGAATTTAAACTGAAGCCAGAACTCAAACAGAAACTCCCAGAAAGGTGTCGGAGGATTACGCTACGTGTGCGGTCCATAATGACTGTTTGGGAGCAGAAAACCAAGACGAAGTGTGGGAAGCGACTCTGCATGGAGCGCTGGGATTACAGCTCACAGGCGCTGACTGGATCCAGCAGGACTGGAGGAGCAGCGCAGAGTTTTCTGCTCAGTCCACAGACTGGAAACGAGCAGGACGGGGAAGAGTCTCCCAAAACATGAATGACGGCAGGTATTTAAAGTGACAAGAGGTCAATTAGTGGACAGCAGCTACAATTACATTCAGAGATGATAACTGGTCATTACTTCACATGGGAACACAATCCTTCCAGGTTACCTCAACCGTTTCAGCAATCCGACAACTTTTTGACCTGATATTCAGATTCCAGCTGCTTTGACTCGATAATTTTATCCAATTTTACTTGTCAAAGTTGACAAAAAAAACATTTGCAAAGCATTTCTGGATCTACAGCATCAGACCACTGAGTCCTTTTTTAATTAAAGACAATAAAAAACAGCATTCAGCTTAAACAAACATCCATACACCACAACTCTGGAACAAACCTCCAGAAAACTGCAAAACAACCGAAACACTGAGTTCCTTTAAATCTGTCTGGAGTTGATTAATAACTGCTAGAAACGTGTCGATTTATTCTATTGTGTTCTTGTCTTGGTGCAGCACTTTGGTGCTGCTTGTTTCTGAAATATGCTATAATATAAATAAATTAAACACAGGCAGGATTCCTGCTCATATCAGATTATTTTAACACTCTGAGTCGAACAGGTTTACTTTAAGATGCTTGTTTTTATCTGCATCGGACCTGGAAAATAACAGCATCTCATTCCACATGTCTGGACCCCAACAACAAGCAGCTGCTTTGGGACATGAGGAAAGAGAAGTAAAGGTTAGTGCGTCATGTTCTATGACACATAGAGGAAAATCACCGTTTCCTCATTTGTAAATCATTTTATAACAATTACTTCTCATGCTAACAAACATGCAACCCCTTATAAAACAGAGAAAACTGGTATTGCCAGGTCAGACTTCAGAGGAAACAGGATGGTGTCTGCCAGTAAAAAACTGACTGGAGCGTCTCAAAATAGAATCAGGCACAGAAAAGAAACAACAAAGAATCATAAACAGCATCTAAAGCGGACGGACCAAAGTGAATGTTCTCCATTTTTCAGTCCAAACGGCTGCTCACCTGCAGGATGAGGATGAAGTAGTCGACCGCCTTGCCTCTCTGATAGATGTAGTGACGATGCGATCGCTTGTCGCTTTCGTTGAACTTGATCTCCTGGATGACATCAGGATAGCGGAGGATCCGCAGCAGCACCTTGTCAGAGATCTGAGAGGGACTGAACAAGCTCACTTCTGCAAAAAAAACAAAAAGGTTAGTTTTTTAGGATGAAGAGATACTCAGACGATTTAATTAAGATGTTGCAGTGCATTGCGTGTGGAAGAATAGATGAGAACAAAATTCATTTCTTAGAAGTGAAGAGAATAACCACTGAACACACCAACTCCACGTTTTAATAGTTTCTTTTGTTGTTTTGCTTTCAGGTAATTATCTGTGTAAACATGTTAAATGTTATTATCTACATCCAGAAATTTTGCGCATGCGCACATCTCTGGAGGGCAAAAAGACGATTCTTTTACTCGTTGCATTAGAATAATTCTGTTAAAATAAAATCTGGAGATGTGTTTTATATTTAGTGCCACAACAACAGGAAAAATAACAGAAAAACTGTTGAAGAACAACACAGACCACTCATTATCTTCAATTTGTCTCGTTCTCTCTGTCGCTCTACACACAGCCTGGTTGCCATAGCAACTGACAACAACGGCACCAAATGTATCAGGATTCAACGCCAACAAACACACAAACGTTTCGCATACAGAACATGCAGTCTGTTACAGTGTTTTGTTTTCAGGCTTGATGTTTATTTTGTGATTATTAATAAGTGATCGCTGTCACTGCAGTGTCAGGTTAAAGTCCTTTATCGTTTAAAAACTAATGGGACCGAATGCAACAAATCTGACATTCAGGCTAACAGCAAAAGCTCCCAGATTTCACCTCTAGGCTGTTTTATAGATGTACAGCATATTTTAGGATAGCAGCTGAAGAGATTTTATGTTTTTTCTCATAAATCTGAAGGTCTAGCAGAATTTTAAAAGTAACTTTTCTTTTAAAACCAAGTCATTTAGTTGGTTTATTGTGTTACATTTATTTATCTCTTTTTTTCTGGTTTCCCTTCTGTCAGTTATTGTAATTGTTTACAATAATTTTCAACCCAAACTGCTCTAATATTTACCTTTTTTTTAAAGCACATTTGTTTGTGCTTCATGTTATTTGCAGATCAGAAATGTTTTCAGCTGACACAGATTTCTCAACCGTCAGAAGTCGGACTGTTGCAATCGGCGTTCAGCCGTAAGGGCCGGGTCTCCGCCCGAGCTTGGAGCAAAGCTCGGGCGGAGACGCAGAGCCAGGTGATGTATGGCTGACTGCTTCTTCAAACAAACACTCATCTTTCTGGTTTCACATGTCAGGTCAGCCCCCTCCCACGAGTGTCTACAAATTCACACGACTGGAAAAAATTTTATTTGTATATTTGTTCTGTTTATCATCATAAACAAGATGTAAAATGTCTAAAATCTGCATTTACTTTGTCTCTATAAGAATGTGATGAGTCATTAACATCACATTTATGACAAGGAGATTTGAGATTGAAGATTATTATTGTTAAATTAAAAGACAAAAAAATAAAGCTAGTATTTTGTTTTGGAGAGAAACTGTGAAAAGATTCGGTTTCCTCACAACGAAGGAATCATCATGAGAGCAAAATCTGCAATAAAGTCACCAGAAGCTAATGTTATGCAACCTGCCTGGGAGCTTTGTGTGAGGGAGGAAGTGCTAGCTCATGCCATGTGCGTGTAGCAGTTTGCGGCAGAGCGTATCAGCTAACACACATGCTAACCCGACAGATTGCAACACACACTCAAGTGATCTGAGACGGCAGAAGCAGAGCCGAGTTTGTGGTGAGCTGGTTGATACAAACAAACATCTTCATCAGGCGTAAATATCTTCACTGCCGTCTGATTACAGTCAATCAATCAACAACGACCTAATTATACGAGTTTTACTGTCTAAAAACACAATTTACTGCTACATGTACGAGTAAAAGTCAATCAAATAAACAGATGTTTTAACATGGAATAATAACTGATGTTGGAAACATTTAGAAAGATCCAACCTGTAAGTAAAGTGTACTTATCTAGTGAGGAGAAAAAATTAATGGGAAGAAATAGTTGTCCTTTATCTTAAATAAAATATATAATGCAGATAACTAGGCGCTGTCTGGTGGGCCGTCAGCTTTCTGGCAGAGGCTACTTTGTTTTTTATGTTTTTGTTAAACATACTGATACCATAAAGAGTTGATAAGAGCCATGTGCTCTAACCAGAGATGCACTGATCTGATATTATCTGCATCAGTCCCAATATTTAACAAAGTTCCTGATCCATAAGGGCAGATCTATTCGGTCTAATTCTATGCTTTATATTTTATTTTTCATTTTTCCATCTGAATATTTGCTGCTGTTTAGTTTTACATGTTTGACCGAGGTAATCAGTTTGTTTTTGTCAGTTTCATTTATTATTATTAATTTTACATTGGCTGCTATACTCCTAACTGACTGAATAAATTAAAGTTGTGTTTACATGTCTGGCCAAACTTCTGAAGCCAGTGGTTTATTTAAATGTGCTGCAGTGTTACAGAGTTATCAATACATTCCTGATCCAGATATGTCTGTATTTAAAGACAGAAACCTTTTAAGACAATTCACCAGAATTGTTCTGTATTGGATTGCTGTTGGCCGACAATAAACCTCAGATACTGGTGCAAACTTCATAAATGAACTCAAGTTAGAGGTTGAATTTTTCTAAATTTTCCAGTGAGTATATGACACAGCAGTAAAAGAGGAGTGTGATGTGACAGAGCAGCATGGTGTCAGTTTCCCGGTTCGTCCTCACCTGTGGCCAGGAAGCGATGCGCGGCCAGCAGCAGCTGAGGAGAGATCTTCACCTTCGATTCGCTCTCGTGTTTGAAGGCAGAAAAGTCTCTCTTGTTCTTATCAGGTGCAACTTTCCTCCTGGTGCGATTGTCAGCTGAGAAGTGACACAAACAAACAGTTTACAGAGCTATAGAATATCCTCTTAAACATTCTACGATTTATAGTAATTTGGCATTTAAATAAAAAATGAAAATATTGGTAATGACAGAAACCTACTGTACATGTCAGATTCATCCAGAATCTCTGATTTAATTATCTCCTCGATCACGTCTTCTAGAGTGACCAACCCCAACACCTCGTAGAACGGATCTCCCTCGCCCTCGTTGTTCACCTTCTGGACGATGGCAAGGTGGGACTTTCCTGCAGGACACAGAGCCGCCCAACCAAATCAGGATGAAAATATCTGAATACAAACTCTTTTCACACAAGTCATTAAAATTAGGAGTGAACTGATTGTAGTTTTCTGGCTGATCACCGATTATTAAAATGCCTGGTTCTGGTTTACAGCTTCAATGTTCCAATCTTATTTTCACCCAAAACTAAGGAAATGGAGCCAATCGATCAGCTGAAACCACCAAACGAGTTTAGTGATTTATTCATTATTAACTATAAGGACGAAAAACAGTCAGTTAACTGAAACAATAATATACTCAGAGTAGTAACAGATAACTTTTATAAAAAAGATATAAAAACACTACATACATTTTGCATTAAGATAAGGAAAACTGTTTTTCTCAAGTGTCAAAGTTTTAGTTTCACCTGGTTCAAATTCTGAATAAGAAACTCTTCTATTAATCACCTTATGATATCCAATTATCAATCACTTATTAAAAAAACAATCACCAGATTAGATCTAGATCTATGTGTAACAGATCTAGATCTATGTGTAACAGATCTAGATCTATGTGTAATAGATCTAGATCTATGTGTAACAGATCAAACACTGACTCACGCTGTTTATCAACCCACACATTTTTTGTTTCAACTACAGTGGAAAAATTAGATAAATTATATAACATAAAATATAATTAGATTTTCTGGTTTAACCACATAAAGTACAATTTCCCCTCCTTTATGACATGATAATCATAGATATGAACATTCCTCCTGCAGTGATCCGGGTCTGTTGCTGCCACACTGTCAGAGGCTGATATGCGATAACCTCTCTGCTCCTGCATCAGCTCGCTCCCTGCGCCACAAATAGCCTGTTAATGTGAGCTCAGTGTTGCAGTTGGGCTGAACTTTGACCTCACTAGTTACTGTAAAACGCCACGCCGAGACGCTTTCCAGAGAGCAGGTGGCAGCCGGCGGCGGTGCCGAGCCGACCCAGTAGATCCTGAATCATTTATGACACAGTGGACCGATCTCTGGATGGAGAGGATCCTGGATTTACACAACATATGAGATTAAATTAGAAAGAATAAAACTCATTCCTAGGCCTGTCACAGTAAATCAATTAATGGCCTGATAAAATAAAACCAGCCTAATAATTTCTAATTGTATGGAAGTCTTAAGTTGGGTGTTCTGGTCTCAAAAAGCCATTTTTTAAGGATATTTTGCTTACAGAGAATTTGTGTTTATTTATTTTGGATATTTAAAACATCTTCCACTTCCAGTGTTAAATATTCATTAGAATTTAAAGTTTGTTGATCTCAGAGTGTCTTTGAATTATTATGCCATTATTACCGTTAAATTACTTGAACATATAACGGTATTATATTGTTATTGACAATATTGAGACAAACAATACTGTCTCAATAACAATATTATTATTGTCTCAAAATAACAATATTATCGTTTATCCTAATAACTTCTGGGACAGTTTATCGTCAAGCAGCATTTGTTATTGTGACGGGTCCAGTAAGGATGATTCTGCAGACGGAGTCATATCACAGACGTAAAACACCTGTCTGTGTTTCCAAAATAAAAGCAGCAGCTCAGTGGGATTTACAAAAAGCTCGTATGACGGGCAATTAGCCCGAGACCAAAGGCTCAAAGTGGTTTTGTTGTGTCCTTGATGTCAAAGCGAGCGCCGCCGCAGCGGCACACAAACGGACTCCACACATGCTCAGCCTTGACCTCACCGGGTTTCATACAGAAATAGACTGAAGGGACTTTGAGGAATCCGTCTCCCTCCAGGACGGATTCACAGTCTCGCTCTGTTCTACGACGGCATGACATGCTGAGGATCACGTGTTGAAAGTTTAGTTTGGAAATGTGCAGAGGAAGCTGCAGAGCAGCCTGTGTTGGCTCTGAGATGCAGACCAATCACTGAGCGGCTCATCCTTCAAATTATGTTGAGATTTTTCACATTTTCTTGTCAGCATTTTGCCAGAATACAGGATTTTCCGTAGTGTTATTAGAATCATAAAGTGTATTTTTTAATCAAAAATAATAATCTATTATTCTTTTAATGGATGCCCAATATGTATTAACATCGGTACTGGCCAATATTAGTAGTTTTTAAGAGATCGGTATTGCTCTATTTTATGGCAGCTGTTTTTTCTCGAGGTTTCGATGCATTAAAATTTTTATTAATTTCTAATAGAATGATAAATAATGATAATGATAAACAGCGTTTTGATATAATTCAGCAGTGTTGGTCTTTGTGTTTGGGACATTTGGGAAATGAATTCCTTCCAAAACGGTTAAATCAACCATGTGATTTACACACATCCTACTAAACGGCACAGCCTCCTGCTTGATATGCGAAGCTTCCTTTATGTCCTGCTGCAAACCGAATCCCTGCCTGACATCACATCAGGGAACGATGGAAAGAATCTGTCAACAGAGTCCCATGAAGACAAACCCTCCAGAGAGCATTCATTAGCCCATCTGTGTTCGTCCCACAGAAAAATAATCACTGTAGCAGCAGAACCAGAGACATCATGTAATGGAAAAGGCCTTGTGTCAGTGTTTGTGTGTGACCTCTTCCTGTAGTGCTGAGTCAATATTTCAGAGGAAGTGGGACCCCAGGAGACGCTCCACCACTTAGCGCAGTCACTTGAGAGTCTATCGACTCCTTCAGAGCACACACGAATTAACAGACAAACTTTATCTGACTGATCACTCAGTCACCTCTGACCTGCGTGAGAAGATTCGGTCTGCGCTGATCTTCTGACGCAATGTTCATTTACCACAAAACATGATTAAAATGAACAGATCCGTACAGGACTGACGGAAAGACGCAGCCGCCCTGAATCTGAACCGTTTACCTTAAGCACCCATCTCTGCACAAAGTACACAAGAAGCTTATCTATGTGGAACATTTTTAAAAATCCATGCGCTGCAGAGGAATTTAAAACACAAATTTAAAAACCTTAGAAGAAAAATAGCAAAAATTGTGTTTTGCAGTCAAATTGTTATCAGATTTTAAACGAATCATATTTCCTGATATAAAACACATTTCTAAAGTTGCTGCTGGTCTGTCACAATAACAAATGTTGCTGAATGATTAAATGTCCCAGAAGTTATTTGCAATAAATGATAATATTGTTTTGAGACCATTTTCAAGTAATGTAATGGTAAAAGCGTAATAATTCAAGAAGACATTCAATTTTAAAGACATTTTACATATCCAAACAAAAATAAAAAACAACAAATAAATGAATTATAAAGTCTCTGTAAACAAAACTGTTCTTCAAAAAAGTATCTAGTCGGGACCAAAGCACCTGGAAGACTTTTATCATCCAATTTTTGGTGGAAAGAGAAAAACAATAAATTATGCAAATGGAAATTATGGAGCTCATTTTAATGCATCACATGATTAATTGAGTATCTGAAATACATAAACTGTATCACTAGCATTAGACACAGATTTGTTTGCTGTTTTGAGTTATGCATAAAGATGTGGCAAGAAATCATCTGGTGACCAAAGTAGGATGACTTTTAGTTTTATCTGTGTGACCTTTGACCTCCCAGTCTGAAACTGAAAATCTGATAATTTCCCCGATCAGTGAATGCACCAGAGTCCTAACAGGTTGCTCCAACAGCAACAGTCTTTGGTGTGGAAGATTTTCATGGTGACAAAAGACATTAGCAATTTTCAGTAGTACTAATGAAATGCTAAAGAGGTTCCTATTTTTTGTTTCTGTCATTGCTAATGCAAATTTTCTGCAAAAATGGTTAAAAAACACTGAGTGTAAGTGACACCAACTCCCACCAGCAGGTGGCAGAATATCTTGCTCCTACTACACTGCTTCCTCCACCTTATCAAGCTTTCGACCACAATCAATAATCTAGCTATAAATTATCTTAATTGTCACAATTTTTTTGTTTTAAAATAAGTCTAACCTTGTAGAGCAATCGTTTTCTCTCTCGCACAGTGTGACATCGCCTCTTCTCCTAGCATAAATAATGAATGAATATCAGAAACACTATTATTTATAGTTTCTAAGTGAAGCTTGAATTTGCTCAAATGGGCCAAAGCTTTACAAAAACTTCACAAAACTCTGTCTGTGCATCTATAAATGTAAATTTGTCCAGTAGGGCGGCGCCATACCTAGAATTGACATAATTGTGAAACTTTAGCTGAACGTTGAAGTCGGTTAGCCTGCATTTTGTAACTTTTTCCTCTTATTCTTGCAATATTGCAACCATTTCAATGTTGTGCGGTTCTGCTGTCTAATCTTCAGTCTAAGTATTCTGATTGATTTTAGTCCAGGTCTTGTATTTGCAGGTTATAAAAGCCTTTCAGACAGCATCACATGGACTGAACTTTAAACTCTTCTATGAAGGAAAAAGGAGTTAATTTAATCTGTACCTTCTAGAGTTAGAGATTTATTTTCTTTCTCAAAAAAGAAAGAAATGAAAAACAAAGATTGCAGAATAGCAGCTCCAACTAAAAACAGGAAGTGAGAACCAAGCTGACCTTTATCAGAAACGTTAAACACAGCTTCTCCTTTTCTTTCTGCAGCACTTCCACTATATTACAAGCAAATGAACAATAAAACCATTCACTGACACACTGCGAGTCAGTGAATGGTTTTCTGTGTGAGGCAGCATTGTGTTTCCTCCAGGAACCGTCAGCCACTCGTCTGCACACACACAGACAAATTCCCGGCAGGTGATTTGACCTTGCAGTTAAGTTTCTCTGCCCTCTGGCTTTTCCATCACCAGCCAGTAAGCCGGCCTGTTTGTTGACACAAAACATCCACAACAAAGCTGCGAGGGGGAGAGCGATGAGTCTTTACAGGAGAGGAATGCCTCTCCTGCTGCCCACGGAGCAAAAAAACACAACCGGTCGGCTGCGTATCAGCAGCGATGACCGGCGGTTTCAAAACAAGCCTGCTGTGAGGGGAAGAAACAAAACCACACAGCTGCAAAAATGCTCCTGTTGCGCTCACACACACAAACAGTTGCGTAATAACCGAGCTGAGATATGAGGGCCTGCTGTGTGGGACAGGTCAAGCTCTTTGAACCCGTTTTTCCAGTTAAAACTGGATCTCCGTGCACCCAGGTCTGCTGTGATCCCGAGGCACGGCGCCGCAGATGAATTAGATCACAAACCACCTCACTGTTTTCCACGCCAACATCCTCAGCAGCTCCTGCTGCAGAGGCGGCTGAACGCTAAAGGTTCAGGCTGAGTTCTGCTTCTCGTGGCGCAGGATGAAACTCAGAATCAAAGCAAATGTGCTGGCGCTGGAAAATTTGTTTGAGGTGGAAAACAAGGAAAAATATCTGTTCAAGTGTGGGGGTCAAAAGGTCAGCTGCTGCCCAAAATGAAAGAGTTTTATGCAAACTAATAGTTTCTGCAGAACTTAAAGAACAGATTGGAACAAAAATCAATAAAAAAATACATCCTTGTACTCTGCTAAATAAGTAGCAGTGAAATAAATGTTAATATTGTTATTGGTGGTATTTGTATAAATAATAGTGTCTTCTGGATCAAATATTCTCTGCCAGGAATAAATTACAGCCTGAACAATCTGTCCTGAAGGGACACTGACTGTACGCAGCTTTAATCAGCTTTATGATATTTAAAGTTCAGAACACTTTATGCCTTGATAAGGCTCTTATTGTGAAGGTTTGCTGTACTGCAGCTATAAATAGAGGCATACATCATCATATTATTGTAGTGGCTCTGCTGAGAGTAATCAGACTCTCAGTCTGATTACTCTCAGCAGATAAATTTATTTGACTGATAAAAGTAGTCAAATAAATCAGTTAAATAGATAAACCTGACCATCCAGCTAAATGTTGGCTAGCTCACCATTAGCCGCTAGGAAACCATTAGCAGGTAATTTCCTGCATTTATTTAAGATATAGCATCTCCAGAAAGCATCTATAAAGTCCAAAGAGCTAAGATCACTTAGTGATCTGGTTTAAAAGCTGCAGTATATAACT